AACGAAAGAAGCCCGAGAAAACGAAGAGCAACAGCAGGAGAGAAAGAACCGAAAAGTCCGATGGCCTATGCATACTTAGCAGCATGGCATGTGAATACTTAGCGTTCTCTGAAAGTGAATCTTAGTGAGCCCTGCGGCCTACATTCAGCATTTTAAAGCAAGCGCGTTAATCCAGAAGTTCCTGAAGAAGTTCCAGATACAAAGCGAGAAGTCGCTGAGGGTCACCCTGACGGGCAAGTGCACATGCTGCGTCCCTCGCTGGGGATCACACCACGGCCCCGCAGTGGGACTCTGTGGTGAAGCGCACTTAGATTCATGCTCGCAAGAGCCAAATCAGTTGTGGCAGCCCACTCTAGTGATTACATTACCAGTGCAGTTAGACCTTGACAGGCGAAGCCTAAGATTTTGGGGGCCTTAAACGGAAGTGAGGACAAAAGCTCAAGTGCAAGTCTGCCGAAGGAACGCTTAAACATTGGCGCAGGTACGTTTTCACACCTGCCACTGCCGGTCTTCGTTGGCCACAGCGGCAGTGGCAGGTCTGTGGCCCCCTGCTTGGCTAGTGGAAAAATACTAGGAGAGCATGAATTCCCGTGCAATGGTGAGTGTCCTTTGGTACAGGTGTGGACACTCTGACATTGGTTTTCAGTTAACTCAGTTCCCAAGTCGAGAAGGAAGGTGAGGGAAACGCAAGGTGAGTGAGTCAGCGACAACAGTATGGTTGAACATTGTTTGCGAGTGGCCTCGAAATCGATCTGTACATTCGGTGCGGTGACGAGCTCAGCTGCAGGAAAGTGGGTTTAGGGGAAGAAACGTGGAAGGACCCTGAAACAAACCGATCAAATTGGACAGCGTGGTCAACAGTTGTTCAGCAGGTACGTCACTGGACGTCTCCAGTGATATCAGTACCGCCACAGAAGCCTCTTCGTTGGACCGTCACTTCTGTGGGGTAGACAGTCCCCCTGCTCATACGTGGAAAACGGAAAAGGAAAAGGAAAGGCACTCTTAATTACAGAGGTCGACACACACACGACGCCGAATCTGGCGCTCGTGTAGCAAGGGGTGACTGTTTTCCTTTGTTTTTTAATATGCCTGATCGCAAACTGACTGTGGTGGAAAATGTGACACTGTACACTCTTGAAAGTCAAAGCAAGCTGCAATCAGAAACATGTAGTTGAGTAATTCTCTCCGTGCAAGCCCGGTGGCTGGTGAGTCAGTCGATCCAGTGGTGAAAAAGGAAGCGGTTAAGAGAATCCAAGGTTTGAAGGAAAGAATGGAAGCCGTTACACGAGTTCCGGAATGAAAAGGTGAGTGAGTCAGCGACAACAGTATGGTTGAGCATTGTTTGCAAGTGGCCTCGAAATCGATCTGTACATTCGGTGCGGTGACGAGCTCAGCTGCAGGAAAGTGGGTTTAGGGGGAGAAACGTGGAAGGACCCTGAAACAAACCGATCGAATTGGACAGCGTGGTCAACAGTTGTTCAGCAGGTACGTCACTGGACGTCTCCAGTGATATCAGTACCGCCACAGAAGCCTCTTCGTTGGACCGTCACTTCTGTGGGGTAGACAGTCCCCCTGCTCATACGTGGAAAAGGGAAAAGGAATTCTCTCTGTGCAAGCCCGAGGGCAAAGGAAGGGCTGCAGGTTTTTAGCGGGATATATTTTTTTATTTTTAGTGGGATGCTTTTTTGGGGGGGGTTTGAGTCTTCTGATTCTGTTGCTTTAGACAGTTTCTCATTTAGTACTACTGGGATTTTACGCGCTACTATTGGGTTTTTGAGCTAAGTGATCCCTCTACGTGCTGGTGGCCCATAGCATCCACCTTTGTGGGGTCTTCCACGGTTCATAGCTGGTTTGAAGTCGACTGTTCGCGGGAGGCCCAGGGTCAGATCGGAGCGTTTTGCTTCGATGTGCAGCAAAGCCTTTGAAGTGCAATTTCCTTCCTTCCTTGCTTCTCCGTCTCCTTCCTTCCTTCCTGCCTGCCTGCCTTCCTTCCTTCTTTCCTTCCTTCCTTACTTCCTTCCTTCCAGAGCCCTTAAAAGAAAAAAATTATCCCACCCAAAAAAAAATATATCCCACGGAAATATGCCCTCCAAAAGGAAGCGGTTAAGAGAATCCCAGGTTTGAAGGAAAGAATGGAAGCTGTTACACGAGTTCCGGCATGAATACGGCGCCTCCTTGCGGAGGATCACACCCAGCACCCAAGTGGGACGACTGAGCGAGTCACACTCTGACATTGGTTTTCAGTTAACTCAGTTCCCAAGTCGAGAAGGAAGGTGAGGGAAACGCAAGGTGAGTGAGTCAGCGACAACAGTATGGTTGAACATTGTTTGCGAGTGGCCTCGAAATCGATCTGTACATTCGGTGCGGTGACGAGCTCAGCTGCAGGAAAGTGGGTTTAGGGGAAGAAACGTGGAAGGACCCTGAAACAAACCGATCAAATTGGACAGCGTGGTCAACAGTTGTTCAGCAGGTACGTCACTGGACGTCTCCAGTGATATCAGTACCGCCACAGAAGCCTCTTCGTTGGACCGTCACTTCTGTGGGGTAGACAGTCCCCCTGCTCATACGTGGAAAACGGAAAAGGAAAAGGAAAGGAACTCTTAGTTACAGAGGTTGACACACACACACACACACGTACGACGGACTATGCTCACTGAGTTGTTGCCAGCCTCAAAGATTTTGCGCCGGCAATGTGTGGTCCCATATGGGCTTCCACCAGCCTGCGTAGGGCTGTTCTATTCACCAGTTAGTTTTGCAAGCACTGTAACAAAGAATTTTGCTTTGCTGTCAAACAATCAACATTCCTTCCGTCTCGAGATTCCTAACGTCCGTCCTTGTTACCTGATATTTAGAAGCGACGACCCCCACGAAGGGGCTCGGGGTGCGGAGTGTCTTTAAACTGATGTGATCGGTTGGAGGTATGACCAGCGTAGGAATATGATATAATTCTGCGGAAGCTTTGAGCCTGCCTGGTCCCTTGCATTAAGCACCCACCAGCAGAGTCGCAGCCATTCGGGAATAGCTATCCCATGTCCTGGCTGAAGGCTGCTGACAAAACTCAAGAAGAGCAGGAAGACGGAAGACTTGGAGACTTGTTTGTTTCTATTTACAGAGACTCAAAAATCACCAAAAATCCTGATGCCCTTTCGCGAATTCTGCACATGTGTCTGAATTGGTTGGTTTAACCTTGAGTGAAGTTCTGATTGATGGCACTCACAAACACCAACAGGTTCAGTTAGGAATCGTCCCTGCCCTGGAGATAACTCCGCTTGGAATGCCCGTGCGAGTGACAGGGTCGCTTGGAGTTAGCGCTTGCTGAAAGGCTGAGTGGGCCATCACTATTAATTCAGCCGGAATCCCAACCCGCTTTGATTAGGGTGTGAAGACGTGATCTCAGAGCCGGTATTGACAGCGACGCAAATCCCTCATGTTGGTATCACAGTTGGTCCTGACAGAACACATGCATCTTATATTGACATGAATCATGAATCATACACCATCCAGAATCATACGTATGTCCGTATGTCTTGCAAACAAGGGCATTGCGGCATGACTTGATTTGCAGCCAAGCAGCTCTGTCTCCGAAATCCTCCAGCCGGAGGCCCAAGATGAGAGCTGATCCATGCTTCCCTGGCACATCCAGAACTCTCTATAACCCACCAAAAAGAATTTGACTAAGTCTGGGGCCGGGAATGTGCGCTGTACCAGCCCTCGATTGAGGCTGTGGTCCTGGCTTGAGCTCCAACACAGACTGGGCTCAAACAGGTGCTTAACAGTTCATCAGGGGTTGCAATTACTTGCAAATCTCGTGAAACCTACCAGGGTGCGGGGTTTGGGGTTTGGACCTAATTACGGCCATATGTTTTGCCCCAGGGTGTTAAGGGGCTGAAGTTCAAATCCACACAATGATATTCAAGGCTCCCACACTCCGAATCCAACCCTCATGGCAAAGGTAACGAAGACTGTAGGACATGGAGGTCAGGGCTGGTGGTGATGGCCTATGTGGTTGCTTTCTGAGGTGCAAAATCAAAAACAGGAGTCTGCAAAGAGCTAAACAGATTCTGCGCCGCTCTACACTCACAGCTTGCCTCCTGTACGATGGCAGCGAGCTCTTGAACAACCTCAGCTTGTGACAAGCAACATCTGTAAAAAGAAGGCAGGTGAGTGTCTCTACGAAGGCTTTTCCTACTGGACATCCTGTCTGAGCTGCTGACACGGCGAAGTTGGCCCAACAACTCATTCACAGAAGGAGCCTCTTTTTGTCTTCGGGCGGCCAAAGGCGCTGAAGGTGGGATGAATTGCTGATGGCGCCGAAGGCGTGTTCTTCGTTGTCTTCACCAATTGTCTTTACAAAGGCAACATGAAACAAGCACCAGCGCAACAGGGCAGAGTAGCGAAAAAAAGCACCTCTTTAAATTTCACCGTCTTGACCATGGACCTGACGAGACATTCAATGTCTGAATCCGCAAAAGGGCTGTCCAGAGTCCCACCTGCCGGACAGCACCTTTGTCGCTGACTTGGCAGCCTGAAACAGCTTCCACCGATGACGAACTGACTTACGGCCAGGGTGGTTGTTGGGTTCAGTTCGGCCGAACATCCCCTTCGGATCTCCTATCTCAGCACGACCTTCCAATATCTGGCCTGGATCTCTGCAGGCGAGTCCCCCAAAACAATGAGGTTGACTCCGTCCGGGTGGTAGCCTGAGCCAAGCTCAACAGCAAAACAACCACGATGATGATGACAAACAAATATGAAACATACTATAAAATACAACATAATACAACCACAACTCTGAGCTCGCTGATGTCAGACCTTCACTTCGGTGGGTCTCGCCTTCTTGACGTCGGCGGGCCAAAATCTACCAGCAGAGGCCATGTGTGAAGCCACCACGTTCATGGATACTGCAAAGCCGAGCCTCCCTGAATGCCTGCCGCTTCCATGCAAAAGGATCTCCAGGGAAGGACTGCTCATAAATTGCCCGAGCTGACATCACCTCACTTTGGATACATGCAGTTCACGCTCAAATTGCAGTTTGTCCAAACCGAGAATGCTGCTGTCACTCGGCTGAGGATCTTGTGTAGGTTTGGCAGAAATCGACGAGCACTATCCTGCGCATGGAAAATACTCAAAATCTGGCAGATTAAAATAGTTGCGAAGGTTGCGAAGAGCAGCTTTAAATATAGTTTTAAGGTAGTGGTGATGTTAATTGCCAACAAAAAGCAGCTAGGGGCCTGCACCCAAGAGGCATTGCCGTTTGTCACGATCATCTGGCCAGCATTCATTTGTCACTGATTCTGCCACAGCAAAACCAATCAAAAACAGCAAGCGGACAGTGTCCAGAACATGCAGAAACAACAGGCTGCTGGAGAGATCATGGGACTGTTTCCAAAGGTCCTCCATGGGTCTTTTCTTGCGGGTTCACAAGCACTGTCTGCAATTAGCTGGGAAGGCGGTCTCACCCAAATGCATCGCTGTCTCAAGAATTGACTCTACCATAGACTCCAGCTGCTCCAACTGCACAAGTCATCGTGTTTCTGGAATGTTCACAGCATGCCACAGCCAGTCTTTCTAACAAACTTCACTACCAATGCTGGGACCAAAGAGGCTTTGTGCAAAGGGAACGCTTTGTGATGAGTGTGCCTTTCTATCCTTAGGACAGCAATCTGAAAACAGCAATCTGAAAGCAAACCAGCAAACCCGATCCTGATCTTGGCGCCACTGCTGTGCATTGATGGCTGAGCTACACAAGAGTGTGTCGTCCCAGTCAAAAATAATGACCTGCTGCACGAACTCGAGTGAGAAGCCCCCAAGGTCTCAATCCATTGCACTCTGAAACATCTCAAGACTGTGCTGCAAGAGCTTTGCAGCTTCTTTTCCTTCCTTTTTCAACAGTTTTAATCTTATGCTGCACCACGGCGTGGTGTGCAGCTTCACCCAGCGCAAATTGGACAAAAAGCGATGAAGGCAATCTTCCCCTTAAGCTTGGTTAGCAATATTGGCAATGTTCGTATGTAGAATTAACCTACCATCTGACAACACCCTCGGAATCAGCTTCTTCTGCCCAACTTGCAGGAACATTCGCAAATGGTTTCTTTGTACAGAAAAAAGCAACACGTCTGCTGCTCTGCAGACCCAGTGCAGCCCACGCCAACCAATCACTGAAAAGGATTCCTGGCACATGTTCAGCTGCTGTACAAACAGTTGCATCCTTGCACAGTTTGCCCCCTGCCGACCACCAACCCACACCAACCTTGCTTGGGAAATGAAACACTCAATTCACCCCGGCCTGAATGCGGAACGTGCGGATTCCATTCGTATTCGCCTCGAACCAGGCACGTCCGACATGCCAAGACCCTGCGTGTCGGACCGAGCCGTAGCCCCTATGCTCCGAAACGAAGATTACAATGAAAGATCCACCAGGATCCCAAGGCTGCCAAGGCCAAGGCTCCTGGTTTGTTCAAGATTGATCAAAGTATTCTGCTACAAAGTACTTCTAGCCTTGACTGGTGAACATGAACCTTTCCAATCTTTCCGGCCTGGATAACGGTCTAAGCATGTCTAAGCTCTATGCATTTGCCACAGCTCCATGGCCAACTCCGCTTCTCGGGTCTCCGAATTAGAGAGCTCCTCCTGTTGATGTTCAAACGGCAAAGCAAACTTGCGAGAAAGGATTGAAAGAAATTGACAACAGTTGAAACGAATGCATGAATTGGCAGATTCATACAGAGGCGCTTCGGTCGACTTGCCAATCTGCTCCTGCAGTTGACTGTTATCAACCCGAAGCATCTCTACAGCTTCGCCTTGGTTACGCCCAGCGGCGGCTAATTACTGCAAAGATCTGCAAAGCAATGCAAAGGAGGGACAACGTGTGCCGGTGTGAGCGATGGCCTCCAACCTAATAGCGATGGCCTCCAGCCTAAATAGTGATGATCGAACCTGTGAGCTTGACCCAAACCTCTCTGGCTGGCAAACCGACTTGGAAAAGCACATAGCGAATGCAGCTCCCCACCAAGTGCCTCCGCCTGTTGCCACATCATCGAAAGCTGACTGATCGTGCTGTCTGGGAGCGGAACTATACTGTATTGAATGTAATTTCAATGTACGGATATGTACGGTATATGTAGTCTAGATTGAGAACTTGCAGTCTGTTCATGCTAGCATTACAAGGATCTCGCATAATCTCAAGTAGAAATGATAGTCCCGGCTTTCAATTCGTTGTTCACACACTTTGCTGATTCATACCTCTCCGTCCAAACCCGCGTCAAATTGCTCTGCAGAACGGAGGGACCGCCTCAACAACCAAATCGAAAGGTAAGGTAACAGTACTGTTTAAAAAAAAAAACGAAAAAAAGATAGATGCTTCCAGTGTAATGGTGCAGGATTTCTTCCATTCACACTAAGCATCTGGTTGGAACACACATCTGTGGGCCGGACTCTGACTCGGTACATTCCTGAATCTCTACCTCAAAAGGAGTCACACGCTTCAGGACATTCTCTTAGAGAAACCAGAAAACGCGTGTTGACTGGGTCTGAAGGGTGTCACGGAGCTGGACTAGACTGCTCAAGTTGGGTGGCCACTTAGAAGGGTGGGACGGACTCCCAAACTCGCCTCCAAGATGGCTAAGCGCTGCCGAAGAGCCGCCTGAAATGGCTGTTCTCTTCTTGGACTGGAATCATGAAATCGCTGAGGGCCGGCATGGTCTAGCATCCCTCGCATAAGGGCGCACAAAACCTCCTTTCTCAGGGCACTGGGGTCATTCTACACCTGTCTTTAAAAACAGCACTTGGTCTTAGCATAAGGTTTCGGAGCACTTCACAGGGGCAACCAAACCTTGTCTCAGTGTGGTCAATGAGAATGTGAGGATTGCTAAATTCTCTCGAGCAGTATCCCCCAGGAACAGAATTGCACAAACAGCACTATAATAGTGACCCTTTCCTATCTTGTATGGGCCCTTTCAGCTTTCAGAACAGGACTTCTGGCTTTACCCGGATGTTGCTGCGGTGCCCAAAATGATCAACATGTGCCCTCGCCTCAATGTTTTGCTCGCGTTCCAGGTCTTGCCACAAATGTTCCACCTCACATGGCGCGCACATGGCCATGGCATGCCACTGTGATGTGCCGGCATGAGTGTCATGGCTGCTGCGCCTCGCGATCACCCGAGCCTGTTCACAAAGTCTTGCTAAGACAGGACGAACGACTAACCCTCCTCTGTATTTCAAGCATGCTCATGCTAAGAGAAACGCCCGGCTCAGCCAAAGTGAGGGTAGTTTTCTGACACCTTGGCCCAGGACATAGTTTCTATTTTTTTCATTCTCTAAATGCTGTCCACATGTTTGACAAATGGGACAACGGGTCGCCACACTCCAGCACTTGCCCGCAGGTGTCAAAGCAGCCGGCACCTGCAATTTCTCTGGGCATCATGTTTCTGGAACCAGTGGGTGTGTGTTCTTTGCATCGAACGTTCTCACTCAACCAGGTGCCTACAGGATTGGCAGGGTCTGCCTGCAGAACACACAAAAATTACAAAAGCAAGTTGTGAAAACCAGAAACAAGTGCAATCGAGTCACCAAATTGGCTGGGGGCCTCGTCTGAAGCATTTGCCAACACAACAATGGTTATGTGAAGCCAACAACTTGGGTGCAAACACTAAAGGTACATTGACGATGTCATCTAAGACACCTTCGATTCTGAAGGTCCACGGAGTCCACATATACATGTTTCTTCCTTTTGCCTTTTGTTCTTCATTTTACTCTTCTGGCTCAAACACTTATTTGTCTTCCTGTTCTCTTGCATACAAACAAGCAAATTGTATCATTACACATCATTGCACCACCACACCTGGCCGCGTCCAGTTGACGTCCTTCTTTACCTGGACACACGCAAACATCCACGACGTGACAGGATGAGACCCTTGCCATAAGCAGGGTTGACCAAACCACCGAATCGAGAAATTCGTTCAGCAGAAGTGCACTCAAATCCAAACTTATACTGGCCAAGGGACTTCACGCGTCTCTTCAGAGTGTTCAAACCTAAGTTGGTTCACAATGACATTCTCTGCTCATTCCAGAGTGAACTTGGGCATCTCTGTGGCTCTCACCCGGATTTGGGCCGTGGCCTTGGCTCAACCGTGTGCTGAGGCTTCTCAACGATTGAGGCGATTTTGCTGAGGCATGCACCAGTGCATCGTGCCATCAGCCAAGCAGTTCACAGTTCTTTTGGCTCTAAATTTCCATTGTGCTTTGAGTGTGCATTGTGCATAAAGCCACGTATGAGTTTGAAGCCTTTCAACAATGTCACTCTCAAACCTGGAGAAGTTAGAGAAAATCGTGATTCACAAGCCCATTCGCAGTTGACTCAACAGCTTGTACAGAGTCACTGCCGGGTTGCCAATGCTTGCTTTAGCACAATTCCGGTCTCTACATCCTACTCTACAGTAATGCTGCAAATATTGCGGCAGCGCATGGTCAACAGAATACAGCAAACATTAGCAAACATCCTTTGCAACTACTTCGGGTCAATTCAATCAACAAATGTATAATTCCTCCTTATTGATCACATTATGACAAAATCTCAAACATCAAAACACAATGCCCGGAATTCGCCCGGCGCACGGTGTCCGTGTCTGAGCAAGGTCGCCACATCGGAGTGACATCGGAGTCATCACTCCCTGAAGCGATTTGTAAAGGCAAAAGGTTGGTGGAATCTTCCATGACATATATAATATGACATCGTTCATGGGGTAAGGATGGGGATTGAGGAGTGGCAGCTTTCTTGTTTGGAGGCTTGTTTCTCATGATGTCCACTGTCATCATCTGTCATCTGTAAGCCCGCGGCATGGGGAGCAACTCAAAGAATCGTGGGAGTAGCGCCCTTTGGGGGTACGGGCAGTGATGTCCTCCTGCATTGGCCACATGTCGACAACCTCTTCGTATGCATGTGCTCCATCTGTCTCAAGTGATCTGTCTCAAGCATCAACTTCACACAATTTCACAAACAATCGCTAGTAGCTTGGAGGCCATCGCTAGCAGGATTAAAGCGACCAGTGGCACTCAGCCTGGTCGTACATCCAAACCTTCGACGAGCCTCATCGCTGGACATGCATCACAATGCAATGATTGATTGTTCAGTACAACCTCGGGTGTCTCTAGGCTTCTAGGATAGCTGCTGTCACCCATTCCGCGTGGAAGGCCGCAAATGTTGAAGAAAGCCTAGTTCGGTGCAGTTCGGTGCGTGATGATGTCACAATAATAGATTTGTCCTCTGTTTTTTCCTAATCTACGTTGCTATGAGAATTCTCAGCCCAAGCCCCGGACCGTGACGAAAACTGAATCGCTTCCGAATGGGTGCGAGTTTGGATCCTAAAAATCTGAGGAACACATCCAGCTTCCAAATATATCCACATAGCCATTTCAACGGTTTCCAGGCAAACATCACTTGCAAGAACCTCACAACAGGATTACAAGGATGGTTCAACATGTATATACCGTATATATATATATATATATATACATTTATTACTTCCAATCAATTCACATTGCACCTCCTTTCTTTTGATTAGAGCCCCCCTTGCTTCACTTTCTTGAGACTCTTGCGGCCACAAAGTCAACTCCAATCACAAGCTTGGCATGGCTGCATTTTTCCCTACAGGAGTGCCGCATCTCAGAGGGTTTGGCCCTTCGATGGAACCTTTGCAAGTCATACTTGGTGCGAAAAGTGACACAAATCAATCAAATGCAGCAAATCAAATCACAGGTTGAGGAAGGCACTGCAGCCAAGCGGACCCTCAGCCGAACAAAACAGGTAGTTGAAAACCTTAAAGAACATGGAAAAACTGGAAAAACTATACAATACTGGAGAAACTTCGATCACTGATATCTCTGCCACTGCCTCCAATCATTTCACATCTCTGACGGGCTGACCGGCATCGCCCAGGATGAAGTTCAAACGTCAACAGCGGGACAATTTCAATGAGGTCCCAAACCTCAGGGAATCATCGGCCCAAAGACCCAACACATGAGCAAGTCGGATCAACCGAGCACTCATGTTCCCTTTTTTTTCAGATGCTATGCCCTTTGCTACTAGAGGGTCCTTTGTTCCCAGTGGTGAGGCCAGGAGCACCCCTAGTAGCGTCCTTGCTCCTAGTAGCGATGCCCTTTGCTACTAGTAGCTTCTTAAAAAAATGATACATGCAAACTAGCACAGGATCTTGATGTCTCTGGGTGGCAGTACGACGGCTAGGACATTTAGTCAGCAAGACCTAAACTTTGCTTAATTGCCTTTCTGTCGGAGCCGTGCAGCCTCCATTGTCAGAACTCTTGGTTTGGGAATGGGTCTTAACGACTCAAGAAGAACAACAACGTTGTGTAAACAAAGGCAATCGGGCCGTATTACGACTAATTCCAATATTTGTTGGCTCTACAGTTGATAGCCAATGACAGCCATCTCTCTCTCTATTTATATAGCCTCATGAGCTGAATCAACACAGTGGGGATAGCCTAACCACTGACGGCAGCATAGAGCGGGGTCTTGGCAAAGCATACACATGCGTAGCCAATTCTATGCCAATCAGTATGCGCCGAACAGCCAGCTACAAGAGCGCATGAAATCCGATTGGAAAAGGTCCTGTCTTAATGGGTACTTCTTCTTCCATGCTCATGCTCTTTGCAAGAAACATTGATCAAAAATGATCAAAGCTAATCATCTCATCACAAACAATTTCCTTGGGTACCGCGGTGATTTCCACCTCCTGGCAAGCCTGGTTCCAAGACCATCCTCTCTCTTTTACCATCGCTAAATGGTGCGCGCTCTGAGTACGAACTCAACAGCGCACGTGCTGGCAGGATTCAGACGTCTGCGGAAAAGTGCCCCTCAGGTCGTCAACTTTAGGAGGCTCCTCATCGGAACGCCCAGCAACTGAACTGTTCGCACTGTATTGCTTTACGCATCGCTACTGCTATAGCTTCTTGTTACTAGCAGTAATAGCCGCGATGGCCTCCAACCTACTACCAGTAGCTTCTTGTACATTAGGTGGGCTAGTGCTGGTGAAAAATGATGAAAGTAATCTTGCACCCGAAAGTGCAAACTCCGTATCCGCGCGCTCCCACCACCTTCGGGGTCTCACTGTGCACTATCCATCAATATACATCAATATCCGATATACGCAAGATTTCTTCCACCCACACCCAGGTGACGTGACCTAGGTGACTTTGGTGCAAGCTCCCACCATGGCCGGATGAATCGAAAACAACCTACAGTAGCTTCAACGTCTGAGCCATCTTTACTCCGAAGGGTCACTTTATCATCCATCTTTCCTCAGAGAATGCCCACCCATGATTGTTTGCTCTTGGGGCATTCTCTCAAGTCAAGTCACCCCCCTTCACTTTTCTCTTGTCATCTCCATCTCCCGTCTCTCGGCCCTTTCCTCAAATACCCAAGGTAGGGCCCTTCTTGAACTGCAACCAGGCGGAGACCAACAGGCCGAAGACGGTGATGGGCACGGTACCCAAGACAATGCCCAACATCACGGTCTCCAACGGGGCTGCGATGCTCACGCTGGAGCCCAGCTCCTTTTTGGGGATAGGCTTCAGGTGGACAACAGGCAAAACGGCGAATGGTTCCTTTTTGTCATCTTCTCTCTGCGATCAACCAACCTGCACAATTACTTCTCCATGCTTTTTACTTCTGTCATCTTCGATTCAAACTTGCCTTGCTTCCACTTCTTCTCCTCCCCCTCCCTCTCCTCTGCCTGTCGAACACTCTTTCTCTTCAACTCCACGCATCCTCGCCCCAACCCACCTCCCCTCCTCCGGCAGCTCAATGGCCTGTGCTGCCGCAGGCGCCAGCGCTGCGGCGGACGCGGAGAGCAGCGCAGCTGGGGCGACCTGCTCTGCCCGGGGTGGCGCAACAAAGGTCCAGGCTGCTGCCTGTGGCGGGCAGATGCGGTGAGGGGATGGTCTGCCAAGTATACAGTTCTTGTCTCCTTGGCATTTTGTGGGGCGAAGTGTTTGGGTTTTACACATATGTGCAGTTGACACTAGATGCACAGTCCCTCTCAGAGATTGCCATGAGGTTGGGTTTCAATGGGTTTCTTGATGTTTGGTGGTAGAAGAGGCGGAGCTTCTCCAACATGTGCAGGAACAGGCGGAGGACTTCTTCAGTATAGCAAGCCGGTGGTGCTTTTGGCCAAGCTGCAGAAAAGCAGGCCAAAACCAGCACAGGCGCCAGAATGCTGCGGTGGCCACGTGCCATGCTGAGCGGATTGGGGCAGAAGAGGAGGGGCGGTTTTGAGCGTCTGAATGCTGCGGCACCTTGTTCTTTGGGTCGTTCTCTTTAAGTTCATGACTGCTTGCAAATGCAAGCCATGATGTTGCCCTTCCGGCTCACCCAAAAGTCTACATCTTGGTGACTTGGTTTCAGACGGATTTATGACCATCTATGCAATCTATGGCATGATCTATGAATATACACACATATATATATATATACACACGATATAATATGAATAACTATACTTATATATATGTATATGTATTATATACAGTACACGCACATGGATTGGTTCCCCTCACTGTTGGGTCCCAAACAGGCTCCTGATCTGCTTCGCCGGGATTCGGTCCAAGGGACCCCGACAAAAGCCAAGGACTGCTACGTATCACCGAATGGCGGAAGCCTTGCAGCGAAGGACACTCAAGAAAATTTGGGCGAGAAGAATATGCACGCACATTCAAGTTGTTAGCAACCGTAGATAAAACATGATAAAACTCGGTAAAATACTGTATATTAGAATATCAATACTTATCGAGATTACACATACACACATTACACGCAATGTGCTTTGTCCTTTGACCTCTCCAAATCCGTCCATCTCTGTGGGAAGCCGTTCATCATCTCTTATTAGTCATCAAACAGAAACACATCCATCGACCAGGATCAAAGAGAAAAGTGATCCGGCCCTTTCCGCCAATTCTGACCCGAGCTCCCCAGCCCACACCCCAGCCGGCACCTCAAAATTGCTACAGCACATCCCAAATGTGAGCTGTCTTCTTTGGATTGCGATTTTTGAAGTTAGGAGGCCCTCCTCTGCATAAATTAAATATAACATAGCTAGGCTGTCCTCCTAGAAGAAACCCTGCTGAATGCTGAACTGCACCCATACCAGTGTGCAAAAGCCTACACCCTCCCCTTCTCCACAAGCATAGATATCATAGATAGTATAGACAACCTTCACAGCCTTCCCACCCCTGAAGGCAGTTCAAGTGACTTTATCAACAGGTCTTCCAAAAGCTTTCAGGGAGTCAATTCTTGCCTGAGATGTTGTTCGATCTGGGCTAAAAACTCTGAGCAGGTGCTTTTTTGTGGGAAAATTTTCGCATGACCACCATGCGCTTGAACTTCTATCGGACATGATGGGAAAGTATGGGAAATATGCTGTACGAATGAACTTCTTGCAAGGTCCTCAAGGTTTCGAATGATGGACACGGATTGTGGCTGGCATTGCAAACCCCAACTCGATGAACATGCTGCTTGTGGTCTACCGAGTTTGTAGCTCAACAAAGAAGTGTCCAAACCGTTCAACTGAACTGAACATGAAGCGCTTTTTCTCTCTTGAATCCTCCACTCGACTTGCCTCGCACAGAAGGGCCAAAATGGCCCCAGGAAACGTTCAATCCAAGAAATCTTGCCAAAGCCTTATCAAGGACTTCCAGCACCACAAAGCGTGGTTGACCATAGGCATCATGCACCTCAGTGCAGATGTCACGCGCGACAATTGCTTCAAATGGTTGCCATGAGTCATGAGTGTTTTGAGTGCCTTGACAACCTTCCTTTGACAAGCGTAGTCAAGGATGTGCCAATTCTTGCTCTAGGGTCACAACTGTTTGGACGAGCCGAAGTCCCTGCAGAGTGCGCGAAGCCTACCTCTACGACTACACCAAACATGCATACTCAAGGGTACGGGCCACAACTCAGGCCGTACAGGCACTTCGCATTTGCAAGTGGCTGCTCAGAAGATACTGGATGATATCATGGCTATAAGTATACTACCAACCACGGAACTTGTTGACAAATTGACAACACTTGCACGGTAGCTGGTTCAGCTACCAAGCGCTGACAATGCCGCTGAAAGGAGTTCCTTCGGTTAATGGAATCCAAAACTTGCTGGGCCGCTGCATTCTACCATATTTTGTAAATCTAATATAAATATATACAGTAGTTAGGCTTGTTCTTGCATGTTCTTGTGCTTTCCTTCGTTCAAAGCTGGCCTCCAAAGCTGCCAATAATGAAGGGGCTGCCTTGGTCATCAAACAACATGCCGTCATGCTGTGCCTGGCTCGACCAATTACACTACTCACAACTAGCTGAACTGAACTGTGATCTGCCATGAACAGATTTACAAAGGTACTCTCTACTCGTACTCTCTGCAAACTAGAGACTCGTTCCTCCAACGCTTCGAACACGGATGGATGAGTGTGGTGTACCTCCAGGAAGATTCTAGCACCTACTTCTCCCACAGCTCTGGCAGTTTGCAGCACTTCCGCCACCACGACAAGTCCATCCTGGCCGCCATCCAGTGCACCGTGATCTTCGAAATCTCGGACATCGGGTTGAAGATTAGGAATCTCCAGGCTGGGGATGTACGGTGGATTCGACACAATCAAGTCAAAGTCGTCGCCTGACCATGCTTCTGCAAATTCTTTGGCAGTCCCATGAAAGAGCGACAATCTCTCTTTCACTCCACATCTCAACGCGTTCTCCGATGTCAAAGCGATGGCCGCTTCTGCAGGGTCCACCGCCATGCCTGTGGCCTTAGGCCACGTATGCAGCAGCGCAAGGATCATGGCCCCGGAGCCGCTGCCAAAGTCGACAATCCGCAGAGGCCAGGACCGGTTGGGCCACAAGTTGTTGATCTGTACCTCTGAGATGACCAGGTCCACAAGCTCCTCCGTCTCTGGGCGGGGGATCAGGACAGGTGCACGAACCAAAAGCTCGATAGGTAAAGGGTAAAAAGGCCAAGAGCCCAAGATGTATTGCAAAGGTTCCCTTTTTGCACGTCTGTGCACCCAATGCATGAAGGTCTCTTGATCTGGCTTGCCGCGGCGCTCTAACTCTTGCAGCATCCATTTCACAGAGCTTTTGGCTTCATCTGCATCAATGCCTCAAAGCACTCAAGTCGGACACAAAATGACGCATCTCTCAACCGTGTTCGTCACCAACAAACTTGCGTGCGAGCCGAGCCTTTAGTCCTTTAGCAAAGTCCATCTCATCTTGTAGGAAGAAGCAAAATGGACATACTGATGACCCCTATGAAGAGTTGATGTGGGGTCGGATGGTGAAGAAAGCAAACAGGCAAGCAATGCCACATGACAAAAATGAAAATATACACAACATGCTTTCAAAACCATTCAAGCTCAATCGGTCAGTTGTCTGATAATTGACAAATTACAATTGTATTTTTGAAGTGCGGACGGGTCACCTGCTCGCTGCAAGCTTTCAACCCCTTTCTTCCGGAGCTCACTTCTTATGTCCTACATATTCATGGTCATCTTGGAGTTGCCGTGAATTGCTACAGTACGCAATGCTTTCAGTTCTGGCTCTCGGTCAAAACCTGGGTACCCTGATTGACAACCAAAAATGAAGAGAATAGACTATGAGGGAGGTCAACCTACCAGGGTTTGGGACTCGTTTTGACCACACCCTTCTCACTACAAGCATTCGCTGTGGTTGCGCAAGGCGCTCAAACCTCACTGCACCGACGGGGCTGGTTGAGCCACTTCCGCCCTGTTCCCGAATGCAACCCAAAACCTCTAGTAGCTTCTTGCTACTAGTAGTAATGGCCTCCACCCTAGTGGCGATGGCCTCCAACCTAGTAGCTTCTTGTTCCTATAGTAGTAATGCCAGGAGCTACTAGTAGCTTCTTGCTATATAGTCAGTAGTAATGCCCCTTGTTACTAGTACTGATGAACTTGTTACTAGTTGAATATCCCGGCAGCCATTTCCTTGAAAGACGTTCTTGCACACTTCTGCCGGAGCCCTGAAACGGGACAAGAAGCGTTGGAGGGCAGATCAAGCAAGTTGATAGAAGCCAACCACACCTCTGAAGCTGCACGTTGAAGATGTGACTGCACATGCCAATGACCTCGCTGTCACGAGACCCAGGTCTATTCTCAACGGTTACTGGTCTCAATCTTGGCGTGTGTCACGACTTGCAATCAAACTGCCAACACCTAGCCGACTTATGCCAAAACCAAAAAAACTCAAATGAACTTCGATGGAGTCCAAGTTGTGCACCATCTTCTGGGCTTGAACACCTAACACAAAAAGCAACAACCGTTCCACACCAAAAATGCCTCTGCTGTCACAAGCAGATCTGCTCCGCTCCCAGCCTTTGCTGGCCATACCATTTGCATGACCTGCCTTCTCTCCTACACAGCCACACTCGCACTGAGAGTTGTTGGACACAATTCCTTCACTGGCCTGGATTGGCCGTTGAAGGCCTTCCTGGATTGGCGGTTGCAGCACGGCACTTTCCATCCATGGCAGATCGCCACACAGGCTTAGCTTAGGACTCTGAATAGAGAACTACCTCACGGTCAGTTCAACAAATACATAAGTACAAAGATAGCCACCACACACACACAAATGCACACAACATTGACATGCTTATATAGCACAGGTGCAGGTGTGAGCGACGTGTGCTGAAGGTTTTACAACTATCTACTGGTTTTCGTTCTGCGCATTCTGTCTTTCCATGTGGATGTCGGCCAGAACCTCGGTCTCTCACGAATTGTCTGATCTAAAGGCAGCAATCCTATATACTCCCATATTATGACCTGTCTTCTGAACTCAATCTTGCAGAGGTGAAAAGCACATCCAATCATCCAAATGATATTGACATCCCAATATCTTGATACATCTTGGCACTGCCCGTACGCTCAAATCTTTTCACCATGGTACTCGTGGCTCCTCTTGGTGCTTAAGTAGTGGTGTATTGATTACAATCGGTGACACTTGCCACTACACAGCCTTTGTCCCAAGGTAGTAGATGGTTCCACAAGTATCTACAAATCCAGCCCAAATGCACCAGGGGTCATCAGCACGACCAGAAACCTCAGGTAGCACAGCACAGCGAATGAACAATACAACACACAAGGTGTCTGCATGTGTCGTGCTCAGGCTCATAAGATCATGTATAAGGAGACCGTCCGAATCCTCTTTTGCAAAGCCACACAGCCACATAGCCTTCCTGCAAGGGATTCCTTGCGGCTGAGCTTGGTCTATTCTTCCTCAACTCGCTTAGTGCTTAAACAGTCTTGAAGCTTAAATGAGCTCGAATGCGAGCACTCTAGCATAGACTGCTCGGTGCATATGGTGGTATACAATTGGATGTGCTATCGCAAGTTGCTAGTGTGCTCACAAGCCCTGCAAGGCTTTTGAATGCCTCTGGCAAAACCTTTGATCTGTACAACTGCTAAGATTCTTCTTGCATGGAAATTGCATAAACCTTTGAAGCTCACCATGGCCCAAAGTTTTGTACCCGGGGCTTGGTGGCCTTTGTCGAACTCTGCTTTGCCTTCTCTCCCTGAGTTTTCAGAGCAGATTGAGCGGCAGCAAGCCTGGCCACTGGCACACGGAATGGGGAGCAGCTCACGTAGTCCAGGCCAATTCGTTCACAGATCTCAATAGAGGCAGGATCACCACCGTGCTCGCCACAAATGCCCATCTTCATGTCAGGCCTGGTGCTGCGACCGCGCTGAACTGCCATGGTGATGAGCTCTCCGACACCGTCTGGATCAAGGCTAACAAAGGGATCTTGCTCCACAATGCCCTTGGCCTTGTACTCTGGCAAGAAGGATCCTGCATCATCACGGCTCAATCCATAGGTGGTCTGTGTCAAGTCGTTTGTGCCGAAGCTGAAGAACTCTGCCATTTCTGCCAACTTTCCGGCCTGCAACGCTGCACGAGGCAGCTCAATCATTGTGCCTACCTTGTAAGTGAAGGTAATGCCCTGCTCCTTCTTAACTGCATCAGCCGTCTTCTCAATGACTCCCTTCAGCAACTTGAGCTCTTCGGTTGTTGCGACTAGGGGCACCATCACCTCCGCTACTGGCAGCTTTTTGGAGGTTCGACCAACTTCTGCGGCTGCTTCAAAAATGGCCCGGGCCTGCATCTCGCAAATCTCTGGGTAGGTGATCGCCAATCGGCAACCACGATGACCAAGCATCGGGTTGGCTTCTTGGAGCTCTGCTGCGCGTCTACGCACACGGTCCAAAGGAACACCTGCTGCTTTGGCCACTGAAGCCATTTCTGCTTCGGTGTGAGGGATGAATTCATGCAAAGGAGGATCCAGCAAGCGCACGGTGACTGGCATTCCATCCATGATCTTGAACAACTCAGTGATGTCTTCCCTCTGCATGACCAGCAGCTTCTCCAAGGCCTGTCGTCGATCGTTCTCGTCTGTTGCCAGAATCATCTGCCTCATTGCCACAATGCGCTGCCCTTCAAAGAACATGTGCTCAGTACGAACAAGACCAATGCCCTCCGCGCCGAACTCCTTGGCTTGGCGCGCATCAGCAGGGGTCTCCGCATTTGCCCGGACCTCGGCGCCACTAGATTCCACCCCACTGGCTTTTGAGATCCCGGCGACTCGGCGTGGACTGTGCTTCCAGTCTTGGGTAATTAACATTCATTGACGGAATATTTATATAACTGGTGTATATTGTCATTGTCATAGACTATCCAATGACTATCATAAACATTCGTAAACTATCAGCTCGGCTTCAGGCTTTCATGTCGCGCGCTTCATCTGCCCATTCCATGATGATTCCAAAGGATCCTGAGAGTTGGGGTGGCACAGTTGGAACTTCACCGACCATGACCTCGCCAGTGCTTCCGTCGATGGTGAGGATCTGCCCTTCAGAAACAGTCACGGAACCCACCGTGAGCTTGGCAGCAGTGTAGTCCACCGTGATTCCACCAGCACCCGCCACACATGGTCGGCCCATTCCGCGAGCAACAACGGCGGCATGGCTCGTCATGCCACCTCACTGGAAGACTCATCATGAACGATCTGTCATGATCTGTCTATTGATAAAAAAGGAACGTGACATGACACCCCTTAATCCCACACTGTATTTGATGAAACGACAACTTCACTTGCCAGCCTCTGGTGGTGAGGACTCCCTCTGCAGCGTGCAAACCATGGATGTCATCAGGACTTGTCTCAATGCGAACCAGGATGACCTTGTCCCCGTCCTTGGACCTTCGCACAGCTTCATCAGCAGAGAATACAACCTCAATTGTGTGGTCGGACACACACACACACAGTAAAAAATCAACTCCATCCAAATCCCTCCATTCTGCACTGGTTGTCAAAACGATGCAACATACATCAAAACACAAGTCTCGGATATACTAAAATGTAGAACTTCCTTGGATGAGGAAAAACTGCTTGAACTTTAAGCTGAGCAACCTTGCCACCAGCAGCACCGGGGGAAGCTGGAAGGCCCTTGGCAATGACCTCCTTCTTCGCTTTGGGGTCAAGTGTTGGGTGCAGCAGCTGGTCAATCAAGTCTGGTTTCAAACTCATAAGTGCCTGCGATTTGGAGATCAAACCCTCTTTGGCCATATCAACGGCAATCTGCAGGGCAGCGGGGGCAGTGCGCTTTCCATTGCGCGTTTGCAACATGTAAAGCTTGCCTTGCTGAATGGTGAATTCTATGTCCTGCATGTCCTTGTAGTGTGCCTCCAACTGGCTTCGAACTGATAGCAACTCCTTGAAGATGCTGGGCATCACTTCTTCCAATGATGGCAACTCTGAACCGTGGGACTTACGTGCTTTGATGGTAAGCTCTTGCGGTGTACGGATTCCGGCCACAACATCCTCTCTTTGCGCGTTGACCAAGAACTCACCATAGAATTCGTTTGTTCCAGTGGATGGATCGCGAGTGAAGGCTACGCCTGTTGCGCAATCATTGCCCATGTTGCCAAAGACCATGGCCTGAACATTCACAGCAGTGCCCCACCACTCAGGGATATCGTGCAGCTGCCTGGCAACCAAGCATTGCACCCGCTTATGCATTCTCCATGAAATGTTCACCTGGTCAGCCTGCTTTTCCAATTGCTTTGTCTTTGCCGATTTAGATCGATTGAGGGAGTGTTGCATGTCGGCCGGGAAGCACATGTCGGAAAACGAAAAGGCGGAGTGAATGAAAATGACTTCGGTGCCTCTTATCACCACCGCTACCGAACGTAAAAGCCGGCAGGCTGCCAGCCAGGGGAGCCATGGGGTGTTCAAACGCAGTCACAAGTTGGTTGCAGCAGCTATCGCAAGTTACTGTGGGCCTGGCCGGATTTTTTTTGTTTTTCGTGTTTCGTGGCAGGTGCAGTACTTTGTGGACCTTGCCAAGCACATTTCGTGGCAGGTGCAGGACTTTGTGGGCCTTGGAGTGCAGAGTTTGTGGCAGGCGCAGGACTTTTTGTGGGCCTTGAAGTGCAGATTTCGTGGCAGGTGTAGTACTTTGTGGCCCTTGGAGTGCAGATTTTGTGGGGGTTGGGGGGGGCGCAGCGCCCCCCCGAGCAGCACACCAGATCCAAAGGTGAGCAGCTCGCGCTTGCTTGCTTGCTTGCTTGCTTGCTTCCTTGTTTGGTTTCGTCCCTGTAACGAAACAACAGGAAAAGCAAATACAAAAAGAGAAAGGAGAACAGCTGCCAAAAGAAAGAAAGAAAGATAGATAAATAGATAGGTATAGACAGATAGATGGATAGGCCAAAAAGCCAAAAGCCACAAAAGCCAAAAGCCACAGAAGCCACGAAAGCCACGAAAGCCAAAAGCCACAAAAGCCAGAAGCCACAGAAGCCAAAAGCCACAAAAGCCAGAAGCCACAGAAGCCAGAAGCCAGAAGCCACGAAAAACAAAAAAAAATCCAAAAAAGAAACAAAAAAAAACAAAAATAAATACCCCTCCCGTTTTTTGCCTTTTTCTGCAACCCTTGTAATAGTTTGTGATAGGTAATGCGCTTGGAAGCGTCTGCCATTTATAGCATTGAACATCGGTGTCGAAATGGCTGTTTGGTGATAGATGATGGTGGTGCATTGTGATTCATTGTTTCTCCCCCGCAAGCAGGCACCCCAATCGACGGGGAATCGAATGCCACCATCACCTTATGGCGTACTGGATCCGACTGGATCCTACACAACATAATCCAGCCAATTTGTCCGCTGAACTCTTCGTCTGCAGTAGAAACCTTTCCTACCTACTCGTACTATCTCGTACCTGTACCTGTTGGCCTTCGCGACAAAGGTGCCCCAAACAACCGTTAAGAAAAATAGAATAAGAACGCCTTAAACAAACATGCATTTGCAGCTTGATAAGAGTGCGGTGCCAATACAACCATACTGAGCTCATCTGAACTCCTACAATGCATGTCAATGTCAATTCAGACAATTGATGAGTGTATGATGTAAAAGCCCGTGCCTGTAGGTCTTGGCTCGCTGGTTCATCCAGGAATTAAATACAGCACCAATGGCTCCCCAAAGCTGTGCGTTTGGATCTTCCGGGAATTCCTCGCCAAGCTCCAGCTGCACCACGGCTTTGTATGACTTCACCAATTTTTCTAAGTCTTCTGGAAGCAGCTCGCAGTCCTGAATCAGGGTGAAAAGTGTGGTGTACTTGCAGAAGAACATGCATAGAACATGCATCACCACCCCAAGTGCGCAAAGCAAAAACAAACCTCAGTCTGAGTGCGTTATATTATATATAGCTGTTCTATGATGGACAGGGGAGTTGGACCCCCTCAAACAACTTCCAACATAAACTCATGATTTAGCAAATACTTTTCGGGTCGCCAAGCATTTTAAGACAACCGAAAGTTGCCATAAGATCAAAATCCAAAAGCTGCGATGGTTTTTTCTCCTCAAGGAGGAGGGGTGGATTGGATGGGTTTAGGTGTTTCTATTTGCTGAAATTGCTAGTTTACTGGGCCCTTTCAGTGTTCTGAGCCCTTTCTATCTGCCCTTTTCAAGCCAAATTTAGTATAGAAACAGAATCATTGGTGCCTAAGCTTTGTGTATTTGTGCATTGTTCCATTGGATGGGCTTTGTGGTCACAATGACCACCTGGACAAACGATCGCCTGAATCTTATAACAATACACCGGTGAAAACTAACATTTTCGCAAAAATTGGGGGGGCGTATGTTAGTCTAGTTTCGGAGCGGACACCGTTGAGACTAACCTAGACCAAATTCAGATGTGCCATCGGGCTATGTTGACCTCTACCGGCGCGGTCTATGTTAGCCTGCGTTAAGTTTATAGTCAGATTGCAGTTGGTCCATGTTAGTGTCAGACTCGATCATAGACTGAGAGTGGGAATGGTCCATGTTAGTGGGCGTCCGGAAACTGCAAAAAAAAAACGCTAATACCGTTTCCCCAGGAAGTCACCGTTTCCAGTGGTCCATGTTAAAGCGCACTTGAAATTGAGTTCTGGTCTATGTTGTTTTTCCCCGGAGTACTGTTTGACGAAGCGGGCTCAAACACACGGTTGTCTCGGCCAGTTTTTCCAACCTTCCCCTCTTGGCGGGCCAAGAGTACTTCCTGCAAAAAAAAAAGTGCTAGCCCCCTTTGTATTGAAAATAACTGTTTTCGGGGATAGCCCCATTTACAAACATCCTGAACACAAAAAATCAACCCACCCCAACCCTCCCTCACTCTTTGTTAATACAAAAATAAATTACATAAAATGTGTCTCCCAAAAAGGAGCTCAAACATCCTCCTTTTTTGGTGTAGGCACGGTATCACTCATATGGAGAATGGCTGCACAGTGCTGAAGCTTAAACTGGCTCAGTCCTGCTTCACGCCGCGCTTTTCCTTTGCCCGTTCCAGGTGCTTTTCGAAGTGGTTGATTTCAATGCCCAGGACAACATCAGAGTACATCTGCACAAAGCGCCTGTAGCTGTCAAAGGCAAAGCGCCGGTCACCCGACTTCTTTGCCAAAGCTTCCACAGTCTGGTCGTTCAAGCCCAAGTTAAGCACGGTATCCATCATTCCTGCCCCAGGTCCGCAACCGGAAACCAAAAGGCAACAACTAAACCTAGTCGACTTGTCAAACGAGTCATTTGATCATCTGACGTGGTGTAAACATGTTCACACATTAGTATGCTTTTTGAACAGCGATGTGGCGATGCAGCGACTTGAAAGTTCTCCTGGCATGGATGCTCGCGCACCGGAGCGGATTGAGACCAGAAGTGGGTTGGTGGAGTCGCCAAAAACACGGCCGGTCCGCGTTTGGACCAAGGCCAATGCCTCCTCCACCTGGCGGGCAATACTCAATAAACATCAATGAACCAAAGATCACCAAAGCCCCAAGCTAGATCAAGGGTTTGGATTGCCTTTTGCCCTCCTTCGTTGCTTGACTTTCCTTGTGACCTCCGAATTCTTGAACATATTTCCAAACAAAATGCCTGCTGGGTGAGCTCCTTGGGGTAATTGCAATCGTTCTGGTAGAAATGAGTGCATACCTCTGTGGTGAGGGTGAACCCAGGTGGCACAGGCAAGCCAATGGAGGCCATTTCCTCAGCCCGGGCCGGCAGGATGGAAAGAAACGGTGCAAGTGACGAATCAACTCCCTAAATTTTGCGCCTTTTAGGCCTTTCAGGCATTACTTTTTAACATTTTAGAATGTCAAAGCACTGGAAAACTTGTTGGCTGCCCAAGCTTCGGCAAGATTCGCACCCTTGCCACCCAATAAGTTTTTCATCTCGGCTCGGCCATCAGCCTGCCATGTCAGACCATCTGAGGCTAAGACATCATGAACAAATATCAAATCTGAAATACAGTTGTGAAATTGGAAAGAAACACACCCTCCATCAGAACGACAAACCGCAAGCGATGCTTCGCCTTGCCATCACCAAAGTTGTAGACCCACTTTGCCATGGCCACTGATGAAGAATGCTTTTTGGTTTCTGATCTCTCACAAAATCTCACAAAGCTTAAGCTGCAAATGCTACCGCTGATTGTTCATTCATTCGTGGTAAGCGGCCAAACACCGGCAACGACAGCACTGAGTTCCATCACCGGCATCAAGCATGGAACGCATGCTAAACACCTCGAAGGATCCGCAATCGAGCACGGAACGCTGGAAAGGGGCCAGTCATAATCAAATGTCTTTGTGTTAAAATAACATATATATATAAGTATATATACTAAGCTAATTCTTATCTATTCTTTACTTTGTCATGGAACTCACTCAGTCATGAGGTCAATAAATCGCTACGTTTCACTGCTACGGGTCAAATCCACCTCCATGGACTTGATCCTACTTTCCTCTGCAGAGAGGGAACAGTGCTCTTTACAGGGAACAGCAGCTCTTTCTTCCTGTAGATATTGCATGGCAAACAAATAGTAACGCAAGCGGCAAGCGCCATCCCAGAAAAGAAATACCACCCATCTTTCCACTTCAACGTGCCGCGTTCTCTTGCATTTTTTGTTCGCCTCCTCATGGTACGCAGCCACACAAACACACTTTGCGAGTTCTCGCCAGAGTGTGCCACTTGCTGTGGTGTTGTGGTTTAAGTGAAGCGAATTTCCATAGATTTGAAATGATTTGAATGCGGTGGTTTGTGGTGCGGTGAAGTGTAACATGGGGAGACGAAAAGCGGTAATCTGTTATGTGATGATTGGTGGAATGGTGCGCCGCTACTTTTCCATACTTTTCCCTGCTCTGCTCTTGGCTTCCTGTGTGCTGGGATGCTCTGCTCTTGGATCTCTTGGTTTGGCAACTCTGCTTGCGGCTATTGTTCATGCTTGCACAGCCTGACAATGCATCCTGTAGTTTCATTCCCCATTGACACGGCGCAACGGATCTCTTACTTGCGCGCTCGCAACCATGCACACACCAAGGTAAGTTGGGATCAGCTGCTAGGCTGCTAGGTGCAAGGGATCGTGATGCTGAATGCACCGTCAATATGCAACTTCAAGGCATTGTAGGTCATCGCTGACAACAACGATTGAAAACACATGCAACTCCGCTAGTGTCTGCCAAGCCTTCTTGTGGCTGTCCATGGTCTACACACATATCAACACCATCACCGCAGTGATCGAGTCCTGGCGTCTCTGAATCTACTTGTTGCAATTGCAAGTTGAACACAACCCTACTAATTAATGAGAACACACACACACACTTTCTGCAATGGCTGCTCTTTGAAAAAACCATGCCCAGAAACCTTATGCAATTGTCATACCTGTCATACCAAATCAGAGACAAATACAAAGATAAGACGTACAAAAAGCCTACGTCTAGAATCTCTCGGTTTCTATTCCTGAAACGTTAAAATACCACTGGAACGGGTTGCTGCACCGTGCTCTACAGTGCATACCTGTGCTCGGCACAGGAAACTGGCGCGCCGCCGCGCCACTGTGCGCTGTTCTTCTGTACTGGTGAGCTGCACTACAGGAGCCACTTTGCTCAGTCTTGTCGCCTCCAGGACCGCCACTTTGCTCTGCACCAGTCGACCACGTGGTTGATTTGGTAGCAAAACCTTTGATTTCGGACAAGACTTCAAACTATACTGTGGTTCTTCCCTGAGGTCATGAGCCACGTAGTACGTATGTGTAGGAAGACTTGATCTTTGGACGGGAAACGACTACAGCATTTTGGGTGGCAAACCAAAAGGCATTTTGGAACGTAAACCTGTTTCATCCCGGTTCACAGAACCCCCCATATCTGGTCAGACGTGTGCTGTGTCAACTTTTGAAGAAATCAACCGAACAAGCACCCCCTCACTATAAAGAAGCCGGAGAAACACCAAGGTAGAGATGAAGAGCACGAAGGCTGCCCGTTTCCATCGCGGCTTTGCCAGGGTGCCTCTGCTCAAGGCCTTTTGGTCCAACATCTTCAGGTCCTCTGGCTCCAAAGTCCATCCAAGAGCGCCCACCGTATCGCGCGCTTGTTCTAAGCTCCGAATGCCCACCAAAGGAACAGCGCCATGACAAATGGCCCAATTCACACAGACTTGTGCCATGGATTTCTGGTACTTCTCGGCCAGTTCTTGGATGCCCGCACGCAGGTCCTCCAAGTCCTCTCTGTGTAAACCTTGCACGCAAATGCGAACGAAAAGTCTCAGTTAACTGTAAGAGTTAGGTCAGCTGTGTGATGTTCTCCGATCTTAGACAGCAAAGCACAGCCATGCAAAGGGGCCTGTCATCTTTGCTAAGCGGATCTTCGCAAACTTCTCTGGCGTGAGATTGTCTGTGAGCAAGCCTTGTCCCACAGTCCCAAAGGCAATGATCCGAACGTGTAGTTCTTGACAGACCTTCAAGGTCTCTTGCATCTCAGGGGTGTTGTAGCACAATAGGTTGAACATGATTTGGTTAGCTGCGATGCGCTGCTGGTACTTGGCTGCCTCTGCGCAAGCTCTTCGCACTTGGGAGGCGTTGCAGTTGGAAATTCCAATCTCCTTGATGAGCCCTGCCTTGGCCGCACGACACGCGCAGCGGACCCAAAACTCCAGGGGCAGCGGATGGATCGGCGTGTGAAGGAAATAGATGTCGATCACAGCGGGTGGATCGCGACCCAAACGCTGCGCTGACTTCTGCAAGGCAGACTCGAAGCCTTATGTTTTACACAAAGAAAGCACTGAGTCTTTCAGCGAGGAGTCTTTAACATTGACCTCAGGGCTTGAAGAAAACGTAAGGATGTTGACATACATGAATATTCTCTTGTTGGTCATAGCAGACTCGAAACTGCTTGAAGTCCATCTTGCCAAGGTCGGCAAAAACTTGGTGGCTAAGACCACTGGGAAACTCCTGGGAATCGCAACGGTCTCAATCCATGAGGGAGAAGCAATCTTTTTATAGCACAGGGGACGAGCCTAAGACCCTAAGCAGAAATCTGCAAATCTTACAACGTCCACTAAACATGTTGCACATGTCAAACATGTAGACATGCGGGATACAAAACATGTCAAACATGTCGACATGCAGGTGTTCACCTGTTTTACCCCATTGTCTCCTCTTCTCATCCTTCTCTGCGCTCTGCAGGTCCCGCAAGCGCTCCTCGCTGGTGCCACCTCCATAGCCCTCCGCGGAGTCGAAGAGCTGGACATGGTGGACCTCCGATGTCTCGCTGTGACAAAGGGTGATCAATTCTGATCAATTACGATTTACATTTTCGGTGTCTCAATGGGCTTTGTGCGAAACAAGAAATATAGAGAAAAGGAGAGGGAGAGAGAGAGAGAGAGAGATAAAACAAACACATATCATCCTCTGTGGAATTACCGGTGAATGTAAGGAATGAGATCTTATAATCTTATAGTGAAAAATTGCCAAACCAGCCTCTGCAAAATAAATGCCACTATAGAATCAAACTTCAACCATTGCAGTGCTGAGAACGTGTTCTCCATAAAAGGGTTCAGCTCAACCTTTTGAGCAAACATATTATTTTCCTCAATGATTTTTTATGCCAACATTTGGGAAACACAATGATACACATCCAAGGTTGAGGTTGATTCTATAGAGAAGTGGGGAAAACATGAAGGTTGAATTTTGGAAAATAATTGTAAAAAAGGATCACAAGAGGTTGATAGTGATTTCATAGAGACATGCTTGGACACTGCAGGGTTGAAATTCATTTTAGGAAAATGTTAAGCACACGACTTAAAACAAATCAAGTCCATGTTAAATAGATTACTGTACAAAGGGATGATTGGACAATTGACATGTAGCATCCCACCGCAAATCGCATGAGATATCAACCTACCTGACCTCACAACACACCACCCACTCTGAAATGAATTCTCAGCCTTCTACTACTCCAAATGCTGTCTATACAATCAAAACTACAACCTCCATAGAATCTGGTGCAAGTGCATGCCTTCTCGATAAAATGGAATAGCTCAACCTATTGGGTATCATCAAAGATCAACCTGTGAACTGTGAAAGCACTTATTTTTTTGGCTAGCTTTTTCCGGTAGGTTGATATCTCATTCTAGAGAAAGTTTGTCTATAAATTCTGATTCTATTTTGAGCTTGACCTCCCCGACTCTATAGGAGTTATTGAAATATATAACAAAGCAGAAGTGGTCCCTTGTACCTATATGCAGCACATCGCGAAAAGGACATGGTTGTAGGACAGCATGAGGTCCCGCTCTGAAGCCTGCGTAAGCTCCTGGTAGATGGCTGCACAGGTCTCATCAGAGAGGTTCCCTGGCAGATACCCGCAGCTCTGATATAGCTGGGGGCCAGTTTCACAAACACACGCACACACACACCAGTTGCATGAAAGCTTTCAAAAGGTTTGGTTTTGAGGTCGCTCAGTGTTAATAGTAGTTCTGAGTTGGGAGTTTTGAAGCATTCCAAATTATGTTGAAACATCGTCAGCCCGCCAAGCAATTTTGTGAGCATGTGACATGCTAAATGGGCCTCGGTTGAGCTTCTCATCCAACCAGGTACGGCCCCACTGCATGGTGCCAATCGCCAAAGGCACTTGCAGCTCAATCGACCCGATAGAGGTTGTGGACGCCATGAAAACAGCGAAAAGCTGGGGGAAATTGAGGAGAAACAGCTCCAGAAGTGGACATTCGAAACGAATTTTCTTCGAAGTTACTTCATCGGTCCGGTTGACGCATCTTGACGTCCTCTCGCCTGGACGCTGATGACGGTGTGGCCGAGAGCCTTCGCAATTCAACCCGAACAAACTGAACGGCATCACTCCGAGCTTCGACGGTACAAGTAGGCTTGGTTGCGCGGTTGGTGGCTCCATCGCCCAAACTCACAAGCGAAACTGCATAAACTGCCCAACCTTCTGAGGAAAAAGCGCCTGTTTTGTTCTCAATTGCGTTAAAAAGCTCATGCTCAGCGTGTGAAAGGCGAGCCGCCGGACTAAGGGGTCACAAAACTTGTCCTGCCCTCAGGATCATCCAGTTCCTCGGCACCATCCTCATCCTTAGCATACTGCATCTTCTTGTCGCGACCTGTCTCATCCAATTCTGCGAAAACATGGATCTTGCGTTCCTTCCTCCTCCTCAGCTGCTGGAACTGTCTGTCCATCTTGAAAGAGCTCAGAATGTTTTCCAATTCTTGAGTGCTGAACAAGCAGTCAAGCTCTGACTTCGGAACAACAGCCTGATCGCGCCAAACAATGGACCCGCCGCAGCCAACTCTTCGGATGTTGAGATCCACTTTTGGTTTTGTCATTTGAGTCATTTGAGGCTTTGCCCGCATCAAGTACTTGGCTGGTATAAGCTTCCCCTCCACCCTCTCCCACATCAATCGGAAGTAGGATGTTGAAAAAGAATCTGAGCCAGATGGGCGTGCTCCACAGGTGGTATTGCCGTCACATCCCTCCACCTTCACCCAAACTTCACGACAGTGCTGACAACGTCGAATGGCATTGCGCCAGTCACCGGTGTTGTCTGGATTCACTGTTAAGTATTTCTTGGCCTCATTGCGAAAGTCTGAGTGGGCATGGTGAATCAACTTCTGCAGTTCAATGCTGGCAGTATAGTCCTCAAACGCAATCTGATCTTCACCATTGCGATGCAAGAAGGGCTGGTATACCTGTTCCTCCAGCTCCAATCGATTCTGCTGAATTATGGCATAAATATAGTCCTGGAAGTCTTGATCAGAAAGCTTCTGTCGAGTGGCCACCAAGTGGTTAAGCCCTTCCTCAAACTCAAAGCACAACTTCTCAATTTGCTTCTTCAATCGATGCAAATCAAACTGTTCACGGCCCTTCCAAGCTTTCAGATCGAAGTGCTCCAGGAACTCCTCATCGGTATAGCTCAGCTGCAGTTTTCTGCAATGACCTATGGCTTTTCGCATAGCATGAAACAACTGTGGGGCTGTCGAATTTCTGTCTGAGAACACTACGCGATCCATGCCGTAGTCTCTCTTGAAACAGCTTCTAATGTGTTCTTCCATACTCTGCCGGGTAGGGAATTGGGGGTCAGGGTAAAACTGCTCCATCTTGGTCACCAGCACGACAATCAGATCAAAGGCGTCCTCCTTCAGGATCTTTGCCACTTCATAGAAGTCTCCACCCATGTTGTTGCGGATCCGAGGGTTGTACTCCAAGGTGACAAATACGCCACTCAGAGGTTCATTGGTGAGACCATGACGCAGCACATAGCTGTGCGCGTATGTATCTTCTTTGCTGTTGCAGCCAGGCCCATCATACAAGATCATGGACAAACCATCGTAGAAGACCTTACACAAACTGGCGAGTGCAAGAGTCATCGGTAATGTCAGCATCACGCTTTGCATCACACACCTTGTTGAAGATTGTGGTCTTCCCTGTCCCAACTTTCCCAATCATGATTGCAGTCGGCTCCTGTGGTCATAATCCAATCTGATTTGCTTTGACTTTCTGTTGCAAAAGCTCAGTGTGTTGTTTATTATGATTGCGGGTGATGCTGGGACAATTTTTCTCATTGTGGTTCAAGTTGCTCTCATCTTCCAATCTCTTGGACGACCACCAAATGGTCGAGCAATTCTTGAACAATAAGGATAAACATGGTATTTGCCAGCCCTGGTCCTCGATTCCTTGTGCCATAGCCTGCCACGACATTTGCAAGCCCTGGTAAGTGGTGAGTGCGGCGTTGAGTCGCACTTCACGTTGAGCCACGTGACGGACAAGCAAGTCCATGCAGTTCCATGTATGGGTCGCAAAATTCAGCGAGAACGAGAACTGTTCAACACGAGAACTAGGGCGCTTCGACGCTTCAACCTGTGGCGAAGAAGCCGACTTAGTAAACGATAACATAACATAAAATTACATCAAACAAACACATTCAAACATCCTGTCCACCCTTGTCATATCTTGTCATCGTTGGTTTCTTGGGTGTGCGATTTCCAAAGTCCCCGACCGCTGGCCAACGACTTGAGCAGAAGATATCGGGAGTCTGCGGCACCTCCCAAACTCTCACCATATTGCTCTAGCTGAAACCAAAATCACCAATAAACGTCAATAACCCTTGTTGATGAGTGTTGCCGCAAGTATTGCTTCAATAGTGCCTCCAGGTCAATGTCCCTACGGTGCGGACAGCTTGTTGAGGAGACCTGCACTGCGGTCTAAAGTTGTGACATTGAAGCCGCGAGCTGCGGGCAAAGAAACACCCTGTCACATTAAATTTTTGGACCATGTGTACATGTATCTCTGACATCAAATATATATATATATACACTTTGACATTGACATTGGTTTTCAGTTAGCTCAATTCCCAGGTCGAAAATGGTGAGGGAACGGCAAGGCGAAAAGGTCGGCGAGAACTGTATGGTTGAACAATGTTTGCAATCTGACACACAAGCGGTGGGAAAAAAGGGTTTGGGGACGTATCATGAACCACCATGGAATCAAAACAGAAGGATTGGAACAGCGTACTCAACCGTTGAAGCAGGTACAGGTGGATGATCAGTCCACCCCTCCCTCGTCATACCGTAGCTTCATTGCGTACGGTGGGTATGACGAGCCGTACGCCCCTGCTTTGAAAACAAGGAAAGCCCTTAGGGACAGGGTTTGAACACACGGCGCCGCTTTGCGGCGCTCGTGCGAACGACCTGAATAGGTACCTAAAAAGCCTTAGAAACAAAAGAAAGAAACAAAGAAAGACACACAGAAAGAGCAGCGCTAAGAGGGCAAGAGAGAAAGGTAGGAGTAGAAAAAAGTGAATACTTAGCCCTTGACTGGGGTAGGGAAACGAGCCTCAAGAGCAACCTAAAAAGCCTGAGAGAAAGCCCAACAAACGACGAAAAGCGCAAGAAGGAAAGTGGGGGGGCAGGGAGGGGGTGTATGTCCATGTGTGTGTACATGTGTGTGTCTGAATACTTAGCACTCTAGAGGTACTGATTACTTAGCAGAATTGAATTGTGCAATAGTTAGGGAGCGGGACTTTAGTCTTAAACCGCCCGGGTAGAGAAGACTAGAAAAGGGACAACAGAGGGACAGGCACCGACACACAAGTGTGCCGAGTACCATTTCCCTGCGTTACCCTAATTAGGTAGGGAGTAGAACTCGGCGGGGAGGGGGGGGGGTTGGGAAACATGCTTGACCTCAAGTGGAATTCCGTTTTTTAGCCCGGCGGCTGTGGCATCATGTCGTGTAAGCCCGACGGCTTTTGAATCAGTTGATTCAGTTAAGACAAGGTGGAAGACAAGGTGCAGTGGACGAAGTTAATCCGTTACACGACTTCCGGAGTGAAGTCAGCGCCCCTGTCACGGGGATCACACCCAGCACCCAAGTGGGACGGCTGAGCGGTTCACACTGTGACATTGGTTTCAGTTAGCTCAATTCCCAGGTCGAAAATGGTGAGGGAACGGCAAGGCGAAAAGGTCGGCGAGAACTGTATGGTTGAACAATGTTTGCAATCTGACACACAAGCGGTGGGAAAAAAGGTTTTGGGGACGTATCATGAACCACCATGGAATCAAAACAGAAGGATTGGAACAGCGTACTCAACCGTTGAAGCAGGTACAGGTGGATGATCAGTCCACCCCTCCCTCGTCATACCGTAGCTTCATTGCGTACGGTGGGTATGACGAGCCGTACGCCCCTGCTTTGAAAACAAGGAAAGCCCTTAGGGACAGGGTTTGACACACACACACACACTGTATATATACAACTATGAACCATCTTATCCTCACACTCACCGGTGCAATTGCTGAAACAGGGTTTGACGCAAATCAGACAATTTTGAGACATGACATAACTGTCTATTGCTTCACGTCGCGAAAGCTGGCGTAAGGGAAACAATTGGGCACCCAATGGCATTGCCAATGCTACGAATCCGCTCAACAGAACTGACAAACTGAAAATACATTGAAAAGTCCACTTCCTCCAAGCTCTTGAGGATAGGTCAAGCAAATTGAATCAAGCAAGCTGTTTCTTCGCCCTCTAGCATCCTCTAGCCCTACCCAACCCCCTCAACCCCTTAAGCCTATGCCCCCCAGCCTCCTTGGTTGACGGAACATGTGGAGTCCGAAGAGCTGTGCGTGCGCTGTGGGTCATCGGTAGTCTCACAGCGAGACATGTCCTGGTGATGCTGACATGTCGTCTTCAATTTAAGTACGATCGATCACTTCTGCAAAGGTGGTGTTTCCTATTCTAAGTCAACCTTGCGAGTGGATAGTCTGGCCTGCCAGAGCTGCAAGCCAGCTTCACAACTTGTGGGAAAGCATTGCTGCATATTGCTGCTAGAAACGCCAACAAAAGTCTTTAAGGGGCTTTCACTGGATTGGTCTTCTTCATGGAGCATGTATCCGTCGTCCCTTTACACAAGCGGCACAAGCGATTGGTCCGGAATATCTCAGTGATATGCTAGTCCCAGTGGATCACAATGGCATACAACGGCTAACTTTCCCGTTGACCATGCTCAGGGCAGGACGGTCATGTTGGTAGAAAGACTTGACCACGACGTCGCTTGGATCTGTCCTCATCAAAAGCCGCAAAAAAAGTTCGAAAGGGAACATGTAGGAAAACTATGGAAAGCTAGTGGGCAAAGCTCGGTTTGAATCTGTTCAACCATCATCCTTGTCCTTGGCAAGGAGCGCAGCGGCTGGGTTAAACATCTGGCATTCATCAGGACCGGCATGCCTGCCTTTGTGCAAGGCGTCAGCAAAGGCTTCATCAACATCCAAGAATCCCAAAAAACCTGGGAATGGCACCGTACGAAACCTCAAAGTGCTGGTCCATGTTGGGTATTACCTTTGCGGCAAAAGTGTTGGAGTGACACAAACACCAAATGGACAAGAAAGAGATCGGAGAGCAACCTTTAATATCTTACAGTACAGGGATGCTGGCCTTTGCCCGAAGATCATTGGCCACCTTTGAGGGTTGGAAGCTCAAATCATGTCAGTCAGTCGATTGCATCTGCACGTGCCTTGTTGGCTTGTTGGACCCACTCAAGGACGCTACAGGTCTGTTGCTTTTCCAATACCTGGCCCACTTGTCTCCACAACCCAGCAATCTGCCAGACTTCAAAAGCTCAACATCAAATGGAATCAAGCAGGAATTGGTTCTACTGGCCTGGAGTAAGCAATGGGTGAGCACTCCTTGCTGAAGGCCCTCTATCCACGCTTCCAAGGCCGATTGTCCCAGACCTCGCAAGCACTCTGCAATGAACGCACTTCCGGATGATTTGCAAAGGCTCTTCACATTGATCTCATTGCAATCACCAGAAGTGCTGAGCAGCAGCCGCACGCGGTGATGCAAAAAATGGCGCAACCTGGAATCTAAAAAACAATGCATGAGGATGCAGCATGATCATCATTGAGTCGGCACACCTTCCTGCAATGGAGGAGAAAACGAAGGCTTTAATGCTCTCGCCAAGGAAGTCCACAACGGCCTGGCAGCTCCAACGAGCACTCAGGAACAGCACTTCAAGCTGCACAAGGTTTGGACTCGTGGCCTCCAAATCTTGTATGGCACTCGTCTCGCAATGGCATTCACCTGTTCTGACTGTTCTCCTGTTTTGTGGGTGACCCTCTTTCAATTTGCATATTTTTCCTCTCATACATTCTGATACAGCATGTTTTCCACCAGGGAAGCCGACGTGCTGGCTGCTCAGCCAAGGTTTGCAGTCGAACGTGGCATTGAACTTAGCCTGTCAGATGTGAATAATGAGCACCTTGAATGACTGAACGCTCAGGCTTCTGGCGCGAAGCCTGAGTCACCTCTGTGTTGTCGTCCTCTCGCTCCAAATAAGAAGCATTGCGCCTTAACGGCACCTGATACAGCATTAAGGCTCCAACAGATTTTGGCAAGGTGCTAAAATGGTAGCGTCCTTTTCTGATTGCCGGAAAAGGTATGACAAAGTGTCAAAAGGAACGGGGGCGGCATCAATCTCATCAATGTAAACAAGAGCTTTTGGAAAGGCAAGTAGCTTAACAACCCTCCTAAGTCTGATCTTCTGTGTCGAGATTTTTGTATGTCCAGGATATGTCGAACCTTGGAAAACCTCTCTTGGGGCCAACCATACACGGCACAGGGCCACCCGGCCCTCAGAGGTGCCGAGCACGTCGAGGCGTCCAGGACCATGGTCAGCAACACACCACTGTCTGGCCTCCGGTGACACGTTCTTTTCAACACAGTTACCTTCAGAACTTCAGAACGTTCGTACATCTTAGAATGTTTGTGGTTGTTGGAATGATCCACACGGTTCCTCCAATACTGAGTACTACCAGTACTTAGTATATTCTTCCCATGTCCAAGCACTTCTTCTTTCTCGACATTGTATTGAACTGCCATTGAACCTACAAGAACTGGGCGACCCCGGCAGTTGGCCAAACAACTGGTGAAGTTCCCGATCTGTGATTAGCCGGTACCTCCACGAGGGCAAATTCAACAAAAAAAACATACTTCACCAAATTAAGTGGTTGAAGATTGTCGCTGGTGGCGGGGCGCGGGGTGGCACCATCAAACTCATCCCAGTCGATAGGGCACAAGGCCTCGTTCCCAACCAGCAACCGTTGGAGGTCTGTCCAAAATTGTTTCATCTGTAAATGGACATATTGGAGGAGAGCATGGGGCTTGGGCGTTCCTCATCCCTTTGCAATGGGTTCTAGGTGTTAATCGTGTTGATGTTTCAAACCCATACGAACACATACAAACAAAAGGGTGTCCAATGCCCCTCTGTTGAAAACTACCCAACATTGATCCCCGAGAAGCTGTGAACTGTCCGGCAAACTTCAACTATCTCCAGAGGTCATAGTAGCGATGCCAGGAACCCCTAGTAGCGTCCTTGTTCCTATTCATAATACTCTCGTTGCTGGTTAGCTTTCTTTTGATGTTCCTTGGGATCAATCTGTATCTGGTGTTCTGAGTCTCTATCTGCTGCCAATAAATGTGGCCTGCTGCCAGTTTAATCCTAACGACCCCACGAATTTCAATAAACTGGGAAGTTCACTGTTGCTCACGTCTCCCTTCATCAGTCGCCAGCACATAATCAGTACGGTTCATGTGTCTCGGCTGAGGAGTGAGGAGTAAAGAACCGTATAAATGACATGTTGGATTACCTTGATTTCCTCCCATTCTGCCCGTCCAGCGTGAGTGAGGGATCAAAAAGTAAAGGATCAGCATCAAAAATATTCAAGAGGGACCAAAAAAACATGATAACAAAAATTTAGCAGCGAAGAAGAGAGTGGGAAAAGGACAGTAGTAGCAGCAGCAGCAGCAGGAGCAGCAGGAGTAGTAGTAGTAGTAGTAGAAGTAGTAGTGGTGGTGGTGGTGGTAGTAGCAGTAGCAGTAGCAGTAGCAGTAGCAGTAGCAGTAGGAGTAGGAGTAGGAGTAGTAGTAGTAGTAGTAGTAGTAATAGTCGCAGTCGTAGTGGTAGTGGTAGTAGTGGTGGTGGTAGTGGTAGTGGTGGTAGTAGTAGCAGCATCAGTAATAGTAGCAGTAGCAGTAGCTAATAGTAGTAGTAGTAGTAGCAGAAGAAACAGCAGTAGAAGTAGTAGGGGTGGTAGCCGAAGTAGTGGAGGTAGTAGGGGTAGGGCACAGCGTTTCCTACTAAGCGAAGGTTTCTGGCCGTCGTGCTAGGTGAAGGTGGGCCTTATCATAGACCTTTGTGGCAGCCTCAACGCAAAAAAGAAAGTACTTGCGGTAGCTGTGGTAAGGCTCGTGTCGGAGTGATAGTGGTGTTGGTAATAGTAGGGGTAGTGGACGGTAGTGGTAACTATTGATAAAAAAGGGAGGGGGTGCAGGGGAGGGCGCAGCGCCTCCCCCGCAATGCAAATCAAGTATAGACAGCCCTGGGCTGCTTCGTTTCTTGATTGGTTTGATTGAGTGTCAAATCTCAAGGTGAAGGTCTTATCATCCAACTTTGTGGGTTGTCAGAGCTGAGCCTGCGCTTTCATTCACCTTTGAAAGCGCTTGCATAGCTAAGCGAAGGTGGGCCTTATCATCCTCCTTTGCGGCGTTGTGGCTAAGCGAAGGTGGGCCATATCATCCACCTTTGTGGCAGTGTCAATGCATAGAAGATAGTAGTGGTAAGACTCGTAGTGGGTTGGTCAGGGTGATAGAGGCACTGGTAATAGTAGGGGTAGTGGGAACAACTATTAAAAAAGTGGAAGGGGGTGCGGGGGAGGGCGCAGCCACAGCGAAGCAAAGGTGGACCTTATCATCCACCTTTGTGGTACTGTCAGTGCAAAGAAGATAGTAGTTGTGGTAACTGTGGTATGACTGGTAGTGGGGTGGTCGGAGTGTTGGAGGTACTGGTAATAGCACGGGTAGTGGCAACTATGAAAAAAGGAGGGAGGGAGTGCGGGGGAGGGCGGAGCACCTCCCCCGCAATGCAAATCAAGTACAGGCAGCGCTAGCCCTCTACTGGGAAATACCCTACCAGCGAGCCAGCACCCCACTGGGAAGCTATCTCTCTACTAGGGAGCTACCAAGACTGAAGGACCATAAGACCAGCGGACTAGGAGACCAAGGGACTAGGTCTAGGTGCCCACTGGACCACGAGACCGAAGGAGCAGGGGACCAGCGGAGTAGGAGAGCAAGAGCGAAGGACCAGGGGACCAGCGGACCAAAGGACCAGCGGACCAAAGGACCAGGGGACCTAGTCAGGATTGTGTTTTTTGATCCTGTTCTTTTTCTTTATTGATCATGTTCTTTGTTATTTTGGATCCTTTTTCTTTTTGATCCTGATGCCGTCCAGCGTCCTCTTCAATTCGTTCTCCGCTTCGATTGGTGTAATCCAAGATCTGGCAGGTTTGAAACATGTTGAACACCACGGTCGGTGGGACAATGCTCTGGAAGAGCACAAACCTTCCTGGACCTACCCGACCCCCCCGCACTCCTGTGTCATGTGGCCACAGAAAATGAAGGCCAAACTGTCTCCCTCACAAACATGCTGGAGCACAGCACTTGAGATCGCAAACGAAGCAACTTTGCATCATGACCGCCTATCGCAGTCCGCAAACTTGGGACTGGACCTCTCTGACATCAGACACAAACCATCTGATGGCCGCCAACATGTTCTCCTGCATACAGTAACCATGACACTCCGACTGACGTATCATATCAGTATTTGGACACCTCCCAATTAACAACATCGTCAATATCAACAAATCCTTGTGTTGCAAGTGCAGGTTAGTGTCCTTGGTGGGAACTGAATAGAATGGGTCGTCTTCCACAGGATCTCCATTGGGGTACCTCATTTGCTCGTCTTCCTCCTTCCCATGTCCCTCAAACGTGTGATTTGACTAGGGTGCTTGGAATAAAGAACAAAAGGAACATAAGAAGGTAAGGGTCCCTTTGATAAGGCCCCATTAAAATATTAGGCCTTATAAAAGAAGCCCTTTCCGTCTCATTGTCCTTGCTTTTTTATTCCAAGGACCTTCACAATGACCTTCAGAAAGCGGACACATCGAGCATCACTTGAATGTTCTCCTTGCGGAAAGCAAAGTCTCGGGTCAGCACCTTGCCAACGTTCCCAAGCGATCAGCGCAAAGCATATGTGACCCGTGTGGTTGCGACACGTGATTGCTACATTGCAACCAAACATTCCGCTCGCATGCAGTCAAGCCTTGTTCATGGCATTTTGAAGCTGCAGAGTTCAATTAGTGTTCTGAGAGTCTAAGTTTATCATGGTTCATCTGTGCCAAGGGATATTGAAAAAGCTAGCCACATTCTTCGTGTCTACATCAACGTCTCCTCAAAAATAATCTGATTCAGAGAGGGCAGAGTACGACCCGCACCAGTGAGCGGGAATGTGCGTCACGGGCCTGCATCCATTGTTTTGCGTCGTGTACTGCACCATGCAACTCAGAATCAGAGCCTGCAAGTGAGACAAGGTCACCGATGTTCCATCAGCGTTGTTAGCATCGGACTATTTGAAGCGCAACAACTCTGTGTTGTAAAAGCTCTAATATAACATAATATAACAAATCAAAATGGCATCCAATAGACCCTCAAGGCCTTCCAATACATCCTGGAACTAGCGCTCACTGGGATCAGGTGGCGTGCTTAAGCTAGAGGTATGAAGTGGACGAAGAAAACTTCCGGGACAGAACGAAGAAGCGAGAAAAAGTTGGAGACAAGGAGAGTACCCAGAACCTAGAAGACACCAAACCTAGCACCTGCAAACAGGCGAATCCAAGGGGGTCTTGAGTTGGGACAACACCAAACACGTTTGCAAATGTCTGGCAGCTGTTCTGGTGGATTCTATGACGACGAAGCTTGTGCTCGCTCTTCGGAACGAGAACAGCTGTCAAACATTGAACACCTTTTGCCAACACAGCGCGGGCCGAAACCCATGACCCTTGCCCTAAATTCCACGGGCCTGCATAGTTGATTCCAATCACCAGGGCCTAATCAAGAGAGTCAAGCCACGTTCAACTTGATCAAAAAAGTCAGCGGCATGGCTGGGTATGGCTGGCATCTTTTTAATCACAATGCATGCACAGAAGGCACTCACGAGTCCTTCCAGAAAGTGAGAGTCAAGCCGATTTTGTGAAATACTGAATCCTACATACTTGTCATGCAAGTAACGAGGAAAGTACAGCCCGAAATCTCACTTCGCAGGTGCTCCAAGCGATGCACCAACTCATCATTCATCGGCACTAAAACTCTGTGGACTTCGTTCAGTTACACTCCTGGTCGGAGTCTTCCTGCTTTGCAGAGATGTAGCTGAACGCGCCCTAGTGGCTTTATGACCTCAAAAAATTGCCAAACAACAGGGAAAGACCTTAGTTTCATTTCCTTGTGTGTATATTTAGGTCTGTCAAATCCTTCTGAAACACTCTGCTTAGCCCTGAATGACACCGTGTTGAAGAACGCGTTGCTTGCCGTTTCAGCAAACAGGTCGCAAACGAGGAGGCTCCACATGGCTCCGCCCAAACGGCACCACCTTCGGTGTGTGAGGCTCCGAAGGCTCCACCTCGGGCGACGGGCGATCAGGGTAGTCATACCTATAGTCATACCGTTCGTCTGAAAAAAAAACGCTGGTAGTCAGGTAGTCTCAAAAGAAATGAGCTGAGTCTCCGCACCACTACTGTAATTCAAAACGACAAATGAGCGCCGGATTACCCTCCTGGATTTCACCACTGCTGCTTAAGAGTGGTACTCCTTAGTTCTGGCACCTCAACATCCCTCGATATGACACCTGCAATTGCACAAAACCCTAAAGACCCTGACAAATTCAAAAAAAACACAACATGCATGCAGCCAGCTTCGACGCCAGCCCGGCTTAAGCTCAGCAAGAGGAAATGCATACTGACCTTGCCAAAACAGCAACTGCCTCTCAGCATGCCCAGTGATTGAACTGCATGCCGATTGAGTGTCTGGCCGAGAAGATCGTCAAAATCAACGTCTTGATCCCAAGCAACGAGCATGACGACCGCCAAGGCCATGTCAGTGATGGCCTCAAGGACCAGCTGTTCATTGGAATGACACTAATTGCATCTAATTGCCAGTACAGTGCCAAGGCACAAATTCAAAGCATTGTTTCCACACAGGTTGCGCCTCGCACAATTGCTTTGATCGAGTGAGGCGTGTTTCAGACTGTTTCAGTTTCAGTACGCTGCTTCCCGTCACACTTGGTGGTAATTACCCAAGAGTGTGCCTTCGGTCCAGTCTTCACCCTGGCAGTATAGACTGACGTCTTTTCAAGTCGTCCTTGGCCCAGAAGGCTGCACATCCACATCTGTCATACTATGTCATACTACTCCAACCCGACCTGTGCCGATGTTACTCGCTTGGACCATAGACCATGAACCGTATTTCCACGGGCACGCTCGTGAACGCGCTTACCCAGAAGACTGCTTTCCTATGCTTTCCCTCCGAAAGGAGTACAAAATTGAATTTGGCCATGGCTCGGTCCGAGGAAGCTCCCGCGATTTCAACACCTGGGACGCTCACACAAACTGGCGTGATCCAGCTATGAAATTGGCCTCATGATTGATGATATTGATGTGTCCCGATGAGTAGAAACCAGGTCCCGATTCAGCGATGGTGCGATTTCGCTGGATGTAGCAGAAAGAAACATCAGTCTAGGCTAAACCAAAACTAGAAGCTGTCCCCGTCGGTCGAACACATCGAGGCCCAAAGCCGGCAGGGACCTCATGAAGGAAGTCTTCCAAGGTTCGGACATACATAGGAATCTGGAGGCCCAAGAAGGTCGAAGTCTCGGAAGGCCTCCCATCCATCGCCGCCCAGAACGGTGATCAGCAGCCTGCAGAAGGGGCGCAAAGCACTCAACGTGGCAAAAGGTTCAAACGGGCCAAACCAAGAGGATTGAAGGAAAAAGTGTCTACAAGTTTCTATAACATGCTATAAATTTCTGATGAATGAATGTTCACTGGAGCATTGGAGAATCGATGCCCATCGTCCAAATTGTATTTGGGCGCCTCTTCGGCTTTGGTGGATCGTCCGACAACAGGTGGAGGGGCTTCTGGACGAAGCCACATCCTCCATTCCCTGGCGTGGCGGCAAGGCTTCCCCATCACTGGAGGTGCCCAAACATTTGAATTTCGAGCCCCTTTGCCAAGCTCTTCTATATATACATATATTATATACCTACATATGTCTGTCTATATCTCTCTCTCTCTCTCCCTCTCTCTCTCTTTCGGCGTTTTTTGTGGCAATTTGCTCTTGTGATAGGCGGGCACTGATTAGGGGGCCCCGAGTGTTCCAAGACCTATTGAACTTAAAGTTGTAAGTGCTAATGTCAGCGCCCCGCCCATATACATATACAGTATACATATATATATATATGTGTGTGTAAGTGTAGTGACTCGGCAAGAAGCTGAAGAAGGATGTGAGGGAAACCATAGTTGCCATTCATCGTTTGAAATTGAACAGGAAGCATATTACGGTACATGTTTGATTTGAAGGATAAGGCTTAGGCACATTACAAAATGGATACAGGTATGTCAAAGAGTTTCTTTTACAAACACAATGTTTTCAATGTATAAAGCCTACTTTAGACTGAAGCATGTTGGTATTACAGCACATAGTGTTAAGATTGATGCTTTCACCATCAAGGCTGAAGATAAAAAAACAAGTAAACAAGTTAATTGCATTACTAGGCTTGGAGGCTGGAGAGTGAACAAGTATGCGGATATTAAGTTACCGAATGAACTTTACCAAGTTGTAGAAAATCAAATTGTAGAGATACAAGCAACCTTAACATATTACTTGATCTCTACATCTAAAAGAGAGAAACTAAAATTGATGAGTATGACACTGATGATACTGTTAGTGAAATTGAGAAGGTGAAACCGGTAGTGGTCAGGAGACTATTTGCAGGAGCAGGCTAAAGTCATATCTGCCAGAACATGGTTGATAATGGATACACAGTATTATTGTATGCCCTACTAATGGGTTATTATATACTATACACGATTCTGACAGTGATGCCACAACAATAAACAATATTTTTGGTATAAGCGTTGGTGATGCTAAAATAGAACCATTTGATTATTCTGAATTTGATGTAACAATATTTGATTAAATCTACTTCATCGGGTTGAGTGTTTATTGGAAAACCAAAAAATTGTTGAGCAATATTTTTCTGCAACAGGTAATGCCAAACAACTAAATAACATGTTCAGGAGCTGACAAACACTAAAGATTCTGAAACAGCTGATGCAGTGGTTGACAATATGTTTGAGCAAAATATTGCTGCAAGTATAAAAGCGGATGAACAAAAGCTAAACAATATCACACACTATGAAGGATATTATGAGGTCAGCATAGAACGTAGCATGATTGAATGCGACCTGTAAACATGTATCAGGTGAGGCTAAGAAGCTGGAAAGCGGAAACACATTAATATGAAGTAGATGAATTCTTGATATGCTGAGTGTACCAAATCACAAACATGTGCTTTCAACGAAAAATTCAAACGCACTTGTCATATTGGTAAGGACATTACCTTGAAGAATGTGAAAGAAAACAACTATGCTTCAAAAACTAGAGATTGACAACGAAAAGCAAATTTCATTCTTGCTTGGTGTTCAACTTGCCATTCTGCTTAAGGAAATCGCATTGGTGGACATATTGCAACAGTTGATTCTGGCAGTATTCTGGCAGTTTTCTTGTAAAACATTATCCGAATGGAATTGGATAGCCTTTTTGTATAAGGTAAGATCTATAGGTACAATAATGGTACCAATGATGGCTTTAATACAAAATGCCCGATAAACAAAACATTTTGATGAAGCAAAATACAAAATGTAGGATATAGCAGCCAAAAGAAAAGCACCAAAAGAAGGATATGTAAGTGTTCAGTGGTTCTTGGATAGTATCAACAATTAGTGAAATTATTGTGGGTGTGGATTTCATATTGATATGAACGGTTGAACTGTTATGAACAATTCAACTTGTCAAAGAGTTTCTAACCTTGAGTCTTACTCACAGGATAATATATACCTTGTTGTTGGAGATGAAATTGTAAACAATTCCGTGCGCAGATTTGTTCCAGCTTTGTCAACTGCATGGACCCAGCTTCTTTACACAGCGCTTCGAAGGCAAACGACATTGGTGCAAAGATGAGATGACGTGCTACGGCTGCTGCATCAGAAGACATTGTTTATAAGATCACCGCCCCTGTGCAGGGAGGGGACCTCCTAATGTGTACTTACATTTTCCTATGGCTTTGACCTTAAACATAATGTTGCATTTTTAAGGTAGACTGAGGGCGCACATTAAAATTGTAATATTACATGTTTAAGGTATGCATATGAGCCAACATGGGAACCTCCCCTTTCTTCAGCTTACATATTTTAATAAAATGTAAGTTATATACATGTATTCAGGCTGGGAGATATGTGCACTGAATGCATGAAAGGAAACAACATGTAAGCTGATGATGTGAAGCAAATGAAAAAGCGTGCCGCTTGTGAGAATCTGCCACTGCATTTTACTGCTGGTTTCTTTCTGTATATCCTGATTCCTTCTCAGTTATCATTCGATCGTGGGGCCTCGCGTGGACACTATATTGACTGTTGCTTTCCCATATGCATCTCTAGTTCAGTAGATTCCATATGTTGCCTTTCAATTTCTAGGTGCATACCACCGGTTTAGGGGTATCCAAAAATGTAGCTTACATTTTTGAAGGTTCCATTTTCTTACCGCCTTTCTGTGTTTTCCACTTTTTTCCTCTAGACTTTTCTTCCTTCTCTTCCCGTTCCTTTCTGTATTTCTTTCTTTCCTTCTTCCTGGATACCAATGGGCCGTAGGACCATTACGCGTTTCCTGAGGGAGCCGCTCGTGAGAATCTGCTACTGCATTTTACTGCTGTTTTTTTTCTGTATATTCTCCTTCCTTCTCAGTTACCATTCGATCGTAGGGGTCTTGCATGGACACT